CGTTGTACATTTGCTGTTGTGTTAAACTTATATTAAAGTTTTTCTTCATTACCCATTCAAGCTGTCTCCAAATTTTCAATATTTTTTACATGAAGGATACTTTCACTATAATAATATAGTATTTTAGAGTAATCAATGATGACCATACAGGCCTAAATTAACCACCTACAAAAGCCAAACAGTTAAAATAATGTTAGTATAAACTGTGATATAAAAGTTTATTTAATATAGCTTTATCTTACAAAGTTTGAAACCCAATAAGGAGTATGTAAACCTGAAGTCTAATTAGATATCATTAGTTTTATTGATGACAAAACCATATAAATTCTCAACTGGTGGGCATGACCTAACAAAAAAGCTAATTTTCTCCTTGTTACCAAACTCCAATAGCTTTTGGACATATCCATTTGGGGCTCTTTTCTTTATGTTAAAGAGGATAGGATGTTTAGAGCAATGGACTGTTTTTTAATGTTGCATTAAGTAAAAACACCGGGTAATCTGAACTAGTAAGTCTTTCTTGCACCTTCATTTTAGAAATGCAGTGCTGTTACTTGTTTGTATTTTATTGAAATTTCCTGTATGTATAACACAGAATTCTGCATAAATGTTACCTCTGCCTACTGGTGTATTATTCAGGAACAATTTAATTATAAACTTTTCCTTAGTTTTGAAGATCCAAATGTCTTTCTCAAAATACAAACTATTTAATTCTCAAAAAATAAATGAACTGTTTTATAATATTTGGCACACATTTTTATAAGTGGTAAAAAGAAAAGAAACTGTAAATATAAAAATAAAACTACTTCGTTTTCCTTGTATTACTAGTATTAGCCTAAAGTTGTAACACACTTTCCTTTATGTAATACAATGGGCCTTTTATGCAATAACAACTTTAATCTAGCTCAGAAGATGCTAGAATGGAACATCTCTTTTTTTAATATCATGATACATACTTCAACAACATTACTATGTGTATATATAAAATATACTACATACAAAGACATTCCTTATAAAGTCATTATGCACTTTTATGATTACCTTGCATTACTGATTCTGGAAAATCAACATTCAAATGTGCTTGTTTTCCTAAACATCTAATATTTCTAATTCTAATGAAAAATTGTGTTACCTTTCATCAACAGCATAATTTCTACCATGCCTATGAAATATCTGAAACATCTAATGCTAGGTTTTCTACACCAAACTATTTAAATGTTGTTGAAAACTACAGAGAAAAGAAACAAGAAAAGACTTTACATTTAAACACTCATCTGCCCAATCTTTTCTTCTTATATCGAGTAAATTCATCCCGGAACCATCACTAAAATCGATAGCAGCATAGTCTCCAAGGAAGAGAGATGCTGCAAAACTACTGACCAAAGAAACTCTCTGTGAAAGAAAAATATATGGAAAGTAAATAAAATATCAAAACACTGAATTAGGAATTAAAATTTCCTAAAATTATAACAAATTTGAACTTAATTAATATGATTAGGTCACTTCACTGAAAATAATAGAACAGATAAAGAAGTAAAAAAGGAGAATATGAAATCATACTCAAAAGTTAGAACTCTAATATATAACTGTATGGGTAGTGCTAATGGGTCTATAATTACTGGGACATTTTTTATCACCTCCCTTGAACAAGGGAATGACATTAGCTAACTTCCAATCCTCTAGTACCTGCCCACTATTCAAGGACTTACAAAAAAAAATAGTAGCAAGTGGTTCACATATCCAATCTTTAATCTTCTTCAAAACCCTTGGAGGAATATTATCTGGCCAAGGAGCCTTATCATTCTTTAAATTTCCCATTTTTTTCTTAACAAGCTTAGAATTAATGCTGTCATCTTTTTTTAATCTTGTTTCCACCTACCATCTGTTCAAGATGCGGAATACTGAATAGATGTGGAATAGTAAATACTGAAGAAAAAGCAAAATTGAATAACACAGCCATCTCATAATCATCAGAGATAAGCCTTTTATCATCCCTGAAGAGTTCTAACCCAATCCCAACAATTTGTTTACCCTTAATGTATTTAAAGAAATCCTCACTGTTAATTTTTACATTTTCTAATATGTGATACCTGAACTAATAATTTGTCTAAATAACATCTATTATAATAATACTCAGTTATTGTCTGTCCTGGAAATGCAAGTACACCTTACTATCTAAATGCTCATGTGCATGCACTTCTTTCAATGAATGTAAACAAAAGGCAGATGTAAATATACTTTGGTAGACATTTTGTACAACATAGTAAAAGCTTATAAATTTTTTAAGAAGATCTAACATTAGGTTGTAGAATAATGTTATAATTTTATTTATTGATAGTATTAAGTAAGGTAAAGTTTAGCCTAAACTAAACTAAAGCAAAGAAACATACACACATTAGAGCTAATTTATATCTTTATTGAATATAGGCCATACTTAATAAAGGCTTAACTAACGGTAGGCCTAATACAAGTGGACTTTTAGATTTCAATGTCTGTGATTACATTTTTTTTGTATTATTCTAGAAATCCTGTATTTAAAGAAGTACTGTTGCAATAAAGATACTAATTTGACTGCAAATGTTTTACAGGTCTCTGCTAGTAGACACCATATTATTATGGCTGAAAAAAGAGTTAATATATTAAAATACATAACATCTTACTTTTCACTTCAAGAGCAAAAAACATCAAACTTGAAAAACACACCTCAGTATTCTTGTATGATTCAGGCTTGGTTTCAAACAGTTTTGCTATTTGGTTCCCTGTAAACCTTTCATAAGCCCTGGATCCTGTCAATTCTGCCAGCCTTTGAGCACCCCCTAAAGCTTCTTCCAATGCCAGGCACTGTGTAGTTGTGCTCCCATCCATCCAAATAGGAGAATCTCTCACACTAAAGCAGCTCTAAAATATAATAATTTAGTGCAATTCTCACTTTATCATATGTTTTTATGTGCAACAAAATATGTGTAAATACTAATAACTTCTGTTCAACAGTAAGCTAAATAAACAGATCATTATTAAGATAGGGTATTTATGAACTGCTAATGTTAGTGCTTGCAGTGTTTGGTTATGAAAAAATAAGTGTTACCCTCACTAGAAAATACACCAATTCTTAACTTCTCACTACAGACCTAACATTTTAGTCATTATCAGTGCAACAATCTAAGATACACCATGTAATGAACTTGCACTTTACCAAGCATGACTTTCTTTCTTAAGATATTGATAACTCATGTGATTAGCATCACAGTTTTAAGTAATGTTTTTACTTCTTTTACTTACCTGTAATTGTTCATGTAGAAACTTATCTGGGTGAAGATTTTTCAAAATTTTTTGTGCTCCTTTCCTCCAATAAATGCTTCCATGTTGCTGGAAGTATACAAAAATATTATAACAAGGAATATAAATAGGCTGTTGGGTGATACTGTTGTTTACTAAACTAAATTATTACTCTTTTGAGTCACATAATCATTCATATTAATATGAAAGACCATTGTTTAAGTACTTTTAAAAGAAGAGTAACAAGCATATATTTTTCCACAAGTCAAATAATAGAGTTGTTTAATTTCAGTTTGGAAAATTAATATTAACTTCTGGTCAGTACAAGATATCAACTTAAATCAAAAAAATAGAAATCACTGTAATAAGTATTGCTAAATAAATATACTACTCTTACATTCTTACTTATAAAGATTAAAACAATACCTTCTGCTGTACATCCAATATTTCACAAGTTTCAGCCTACTTAGGAAATTAAGGTTAGTCCTAAATGCATATACTAAATTAACAATGCAAAATAATCTCTATAATAAAAACTTTAAAACAATACAAGTTGATATATTAGACATTCTAACCAATACTGTTACTTTCCTGAAAGGGGCCAAAGGCCACCTTAAGGGGAAATAACAGTATTAACTACCATTATTTATATAGTAGTGTGTTGTCTGTCAGTCAGTGAGTAGACACTAAAATGATGCCACATAATTGACACTTAATGTTGCAATTTGTACTTTTGTGACATCAGTAAAATGTGCATGCCGTGAATCATGACAAGAATTATGCACTAGTAGGTTACAACACAGCATGATATATAAACTTCAAAAGCAAGAAATAAAAATATTTGTTACTCTTTATTTTGGTTTTATTTACTCTTGAAACAGAATACTTTTATGGGCTCTGCGAAAGTACATCTATTTGAAAGTAGCATTAAATGAAAAATTGATTATACCTTACTTACAGAACATAAATACTAGTTGTAAATTTAACATTCATTAAACAGAATCAGTATAACAGAGTACAAGCAAAATTTAGGCCATGAACACCTTCAGAGTCAGACTTTTTTTTTTTCCAACAAGTTAAATAAGCAAAGCGTTTTTTTTTAGTTTTACAAACGTAAGCTACGAACATCTTCCAAGTTATTTTAATAATTAACAGGTAGTATGTAAAGGATACATAGCTTAAGATTAGAGAGAAAGTCAGTGAAGTGCATCCAAAATATGGTCTAAAAATATTGCAATAAGTGAAATAATTTATAATTTTTGGTTCATGTGTACAAAGTACAATGTAACAAGAAAGATTTTTCAATTGCATAACTTTCTTGTTAAGCTTGGACAACATCTTGTCACAGAGGATCGAAATATATTGTACCTGAAAATGTTCATCTCCTCATTGTTTGTAATCTTAAATATATAGCTATTGCTTAAAATTTTATGATTCGGTATTTCATGTTGACTGTTTCAGTCACTATGGACCACACTACCTGTCCTGCTCCAGACACTGCAGCTACAGTAGACAAGTCTAATCCTGTAACTTTAAGCTTTTCCATTACAAGGTCCACTGCCTTAACCCACATAATGGATGGAGCAGTTACAGTTATATTGTCAACTTTCTGCACACCACCATGGGTTCTAAAGAAAATAATATATGCATACTTTTTAAACTGTTTAGTATTAAAACTCAAGATCCAGCTACTACTTAAACTTTCTATATATATTTTTTTTCATATAAATAACCAGTTAGGTTCTCTTTATAGCTAACTTGATTGTCTAGTTTTTGTAGTTAAAAAAAAAACTTAATCTCAAATTTGAATACAAGTAATTTTTGATGCATAAAATGTAGCAATTATGAAAAGTTTGTCTTAGTGTATCTGACTTTTTCAATACACATTAAATTCTTTATATGTTAGTTACTATCACAAATTCACAAACCAACATCACACACAAAAAAATCCTATAGGGTTCTATATGTAAGATCTAACACTATAGTATATTACCTCCAATAGAAGACTTACTAACATATGGGTTGACCCAGTTGAATGTACTACAGAAATAATTTTCGTTATTCTACATGACAACAAGAAACTAGCATAAACAATGAACCCATAAAGACAAACATTTCACCACTGTACAAGGTTTAAACATGTTAAACACTAACCTGAATTCAGGTAATTCTGAGTCAAAATGAACTGTCACCTCATGTTTTACTTCCAAGTTTTCATTGATCACAACAGCCTTCAACTGAAATAGCATATAAAGATAATTACAAAAAAATTATGTACATGTATATGATAAAAGCAAAATTAGTCATGTGTATTAAGTAGTTATTTAGTTAAGATATGTTAAAGTTCATTAAAAGATTTTTGAAGTCAGATTCATATCCTACTTCAAAAACGAATAATTTATGCAAATAATGTTTCCACAGTTGTGCCAAAATATTTGAACATTCAGAACTCAGATACACCAATATCCAACAGGTAAGTTTAAAGTAATAGCAAAATACAAATTCTGGAACTGCTAAGCAGAGAATAAATTAAATCAAATTTGGACATAAAAAATAAAGAAACAAACAAATAAAACCTTTATTTACAATGACAGTATTGTGTATTTATCATAATGACCAGTCTTTTAATTTCTATAGCAAATACTCTGGCTCTTGGGTTGAAGAGGAAGGATTTTTAAACATGTCTGCACAGAATAAAGCCAGCAAGAATTATTCTATACTGTACTATAAAGTCACTCAAAATGTTCAAGTGCAATATCTCATAATCCAAGAGTTACTTATGCTACCGGCTACTCTAAATAATATATTCAAAAAAAGATAACCTCTAACCCATATCTATTTGTACAAGTATCTGTGTCACCCTTTAAGATAGACTTGCCTCATCCCAAAGAGTGGACACATCCAGGACAAAAGTGATAAAAGCTTTTAAAAATAATAGCCTCTATCATATCTAATCCTTACCTAAGTGAAAGGATTAGCATATGTTTACAACCTTTCAACATCCAGTTAACAAGAATGTCATAGCTACATGTAAAACACCTGCATGAAAATTATGAAAAATTACCTAAATATACCTTACAACAGATATATATTATAGAAAAGCAAAATTATTGGCTATTTCAACTTTAACACACACACACACACTTAAGAGAAATCAAATTAATTTTAAATATTATTCTACAACTAGAGACTGTTGACCTAAAACTGGTTTATGAAATTCTTTTGTCACCTCATCAATATACTAATAACTAGATTCCTTTTACTAATAATTACTGAGAATATAAACAGAGCAATACTTGTAGAATATTTTATTCTAAACACTGATTAGATTTCTCAGTTACCTTCCTAATGAATTAGGATGATAATAATCTACATTTGAACTCAGGACTCTTGACTTTCACCAAAACTCTAAAGCCAATGCTGTACAATTGAGCTGAAAAGACTTAAGTCCTAAGTAGGGAACTCCAAGTTCTAACTGTTACAGCATTTACACAATTTTAATAAAACTTGTGGCCAAACCTATGAATACAACACACACTAACATTCCCACATTAACAAAATACAACTTGTAATGTATACTTACCACAGGTGTCACATTCATCAAAATTGTTACACTATCAACAAACTGAAATTATGCATGTGATGTTTTTAAACATTTAAAAGCAACTTTTTTATTCTAACCCTATAATATTTATTATCATTATTGACTACCAGTAAGATGTGCTAGGCACCTCTTCTGTACCTGTCAAATATAACTTATAAGCACTATTTATAACTTTGTGTTATTGTATTAGCATAACCTAACATGTAAAACTAGATGTAGGCCTCCTACAGTATTAGTAATAAAAGTAAATGAATGCAATCAAATCATTGAGTCATATAATAGCATAAAAACCCAAATGCAGTCAGTATCTCTTATATTTGCAATGTGTTGACAATGGTCGTGAAGACTGAAACACAAAAGCCTTGAAACTTTTAAACGAGCATTCCACACTTGTTTTTGTGGGAAAATATAAATATTTTCTTAGTTCTTAAAGTAATTATGAAACTTACTTTTAACTTTCATCATAAACCTTTTTAACCAAATACTCAATTAAACCTTTTTTTTTTCTTATGATAATTTTCGATGAAATTTAACCATCATCAGCACACATTTAAAAAGTTGCATTATGGAACACCTGGGGTCCAACTGGACCCCAGTACATAAGTACCATTATAGTAAGCTCTGGACTGCAATTCCAAAAACCAATTGAATTACAACTTTTATTAGAGTTACCATGCAATGTGAACAACATAAAAATATATGTATTCTAGAGGAACTATGTTGACAAATCAAGAAATTACAAAATGACATTGTTCACCAGTATACAAATAAGAAGTGTTAAACCATTCCTTATATAAACAGTGTATCAAACAATTTCTGAAATTTTATTATACTCCTATGTTCAATCATTAACCACCAATATATGACGAGATTACCACGATATTATTACTACAAAATTCAACTCAAAGAAAACTGAAAGTGTATGTTGTGGGTCATTTTGGGTCCAGCCAGATCCCAACATAAATGTATCGTTATAATAGGCTATGGATTGAAAATCTAATAAGCATGTTAGTTACAACAATTATCAAACAAGGTTTCTATAAAATAGGGCATTATAAGCAGTCATCACAGAGAACACGTGTTGAGGAATGAGATGTGCATACATGATTACCACAATGATGTTATAAGCAAACAGATGATACTGTACTAGTTTGATGAATTATCCTCTACAACAGCCTATAGAGTAAAATAAATGTTAAGAAATTCATTTCCTATGCTATAGGGCAAACTGCATGTATAATGATAGTCAATGATAATATGAGGTCTACGTGGACCCCAGATAAATATTAGTATATAGCTAAATACTCTCTCTACTTGTTTCAATAGTGTCATATTGTTCCAGGGTTTCTGCTTGACAATTACCTGAATTGATATAAATTTGTAAGCATTATGTAAAAAGATATACAACTCAGAAAATCGTTGGGTCCATGTGGAACCTAGGTGTGCTGATGAGAGTTAAAATACCAAGTCGCTCTGTTTGCCACTGCAAATTGAAAATTAAATTATATTTGAATTAATAGCAGTATTAGAAGAATACAATAAAAGTAGATCACAATACTCACTAGCTAAAGTTAATAAAATCAATGACAGCGTTATTTATTTTTACTTTTAAACTGGATCACCATGCATAAATATTGTCGACATTATATAAATATATATATATAAAAAATCCTAAAAATAGTATCACTATTAGTAACAAATTGGTTTCATAAGCTAAAGTAAGTATTTAATATAAATAGTTTACACTGGTATGAAATCATAGTTATTGTTTCAAAGTTTTAATGCTTTTGACAGTTTTGTCATCAGGAGCCCAGTAGGCAGTAACTCACACGTAAGTGACAAAGTCATTGACAGGGCGTAAACTTTTAGTTTTACGCCACTTTGTAGCTATCTTAAACTTAAAGTTAGGAATAAAACTTAAGTAAGCTTTGATTTTGAATTGGAAAATTTAATATAAGAGACAAACAGGATACCCGTAAATACATACGACGTTACCTGTTGAGTACTAAAATCAAATCCGAGATAGGTCTTGTCGTTCCATTCCCCACAGCAATCTCCGGTTGGAGCCATATTAGCATTACACGTCATAATTACTAACAATATTTTCGATTAGTTTCTTCGCATTATCTCGAGTCACCTTAGGGCCAGAAGAACGTGCTTGTTGTGAATCGGTAAGCCAATCTCTGGAAAAGCTACAAGTACAAGTGATTCTTGGTGCTCTTAGATTTTACTGATTCTCTGCATGATATTCATATATCATATGAGAAATATATTATACAGAAAATTCTGTTAACTCTTTCTAAGTTTATGCTAAAAAAGAGGGAAAAAGAGAAGCGTCTGTATATTATAAGAGTGAATATTTGAAATAGGCTGCGGATATACTGTAAGTTAACTTCATCAACTTCAATCAAACGCAATATGAGCTTAATGATCTTGACCGTCTGTTAAGGTCACCAATGGTAGTGAACGTTGTGAAATGCGCTTCAATGTAATTAATTGCCAAAACATCTCGCACTTCGTTAATGGAAATATTAGATGCACGTAGCTGGCATATAATTTTCATGAAATGTAAGATATTGCTTGAAATGTATACAGTTCTCGAAGTGTGTTGTTTTTACTCTCTAGGTAAACAACGCCACATTAAAGTGTGAAGTATGGCTAAGCCGAATTCAACCGCAATTCATAACATATTTACGCGGAGAGGAAAAAAAGTTATTATAGCCTCACATAACCATATAAAACTGTCATTCGGAAAACACCCAAAGAAAGCTAGAAGCTAAAGCATAATCGACTTATAACTAAACGATGACCATATTATTAAGACACTTTTACATAAGTAAGACAAGGAATATTCGAATTGTGTTCAGATACTTAAATTTTCTTGAACAAAAAATGTTAAATTGATTGTGAACTACAGCCTTTAAATTTTCTTCAATAGCGCAATGCAGTCTGTGAATTATAGCTTGATATATTTCTTTTAGTGCAATGAAATATAGATTTTACAAAAGTTATAATTTGGGTTTAGAAAACTATCACAAGTAGATAAAATATGTTACTATATTGCTAATTGAGAAAGTTACACAAAAGTTACAAAAACCCACAAAAAAAAAGACGCAAAGATGCTCGTAGCATTTTCTTGCACTTAATTCGAATTCTCAGTGTCACTGAAAATTAAAACAGGAGCGACGAAATAACTGCAAAATTACTTGAGATACCCATAGATTTTTATTATTTATGTTTTAGATATTTAAACCATACTCAATAGATGGCACTAGTATCCTCTTACGTAGGTAGCCTGAAAACGCTATTTTAGGTTGAATGAAAACAGTCGATTTATTATCGACCCCCCAGTGGCACAGCGGTATGTCTGCGAATTAACAACGATAGAAACCGGGTTTCGATACCCGTGGTTGGCAGAGTATAGATAACCCATTGTGTGGCTTTGTCCATAACTACAAATAAACAAACGACTTATTATCTCATATATCAACAGTATAGTTTTTAGGTGCTTTATTGAAATGCTAAAATTGCTAAAATTAGTTCACTATTATTTCAAGAAGTAAGAAATAATATATAAGCTTAGCAAGTCATATTTTACATAACGTGCAATATGCAAATAAGCAAAATTCTAAATCGTACATTTAATTGCTTTAGTAACAAATGATTTTGGCATCCATATCAATCCTGACGTCCAAACTTTCAATACATATTCGACATTCTCACCAAGAAGGTTTAAAACTTGACAGTTTAATTATAACTCTCAGTTCTTGTTTAATTATTGTAATATAGTATTTCAAAAAAAAAAAACATTTATTTACATTGGGTTTCCTTTAGAAGTCGAATTAAAATAAAACTCAAAAGTTACGGTTAGTGCAACTTGTAATGTGTATCTAGTTTTACAGTAAAGCAAAGAGTTGATAGTCAATCACTGCAAAGTTCTTGTGTTTCTATCCAGAGTAAAATATTTATCTCGGAGAAAACACAACTCTCAGCTAATACTGATCTGATTTATTTTGTCACAGCTTTTAGTCTAAGAACATCATGATCCCTTCCAAAATTTGAAAATTGTGATCTCATCGCAGCAAAATTAATTTTAAATTATTTTAACATTAAGTTCATTATTCTAAAGTCGCCTTTAAAATGTTTCTAAAAGCTTAAAAGTTGTACACTTGATTTAAGATCAAAGAAATAACAACTTCCAATAAAACACGTGTAATATGAGCTTTTTTTAAAACAAATTAAAGGGGAGGTGAACGACTACAAACCTTTTCAGTTGCATCCTTGATCATTAAGAAGACGTATGAAGATTCTAAAATGTGTTATCTTTAGTATACAAAGTTCGAAATTCTTTTAAAACATATATAGCTGAATAGTAACTTTAAATTTGCACAAATTATTAGATAATAATTGTTAATCTTGATTAACACACAGTTTGTTAAGCACAAGTCTACACAATGGGCTATATCTGCTTTGACCACCGCGGGTATAGAAACCAGATTTTTTTATTGTTATAAGTCCCCAAACTTACCGCTGAGCTACAAATAGAAGAATAAACAATACAGAACATATAACTCAAATTAATTGAACATATAGCTTTATAAGCCATATAACTCAAATTAATTGAACTTATAGCTTTTTAAGCCATATAACTCAAATTAATTGAACTTGTAGCTTTATAAGCCATATAACACAAATTAATGAAGCGAATCCTGGTACCTGTGAACTAACCCCTGGAAGTCAATATAAATAGTCAAAATTGATGATTATGATATAACAGATTAGCCCTAAGAAGAGGATAAGGTAATAATGGAAAACTATTTCATCAAAAATTATGCAGCTGAATATTGTAAAGCTTAAGTAAGAAAAGAAATTACATTCAGAATTTGCAAAATGTTAATACATTCGTTTTTCTTTGAATTTCATTAAAACAATGACTCACTGATGACTTCCTTGATAATTTTATAAATTAATACGTCCATCATGATTTAATATGCTCAGGACTCCTCTTATTTATAAATATAGAACCCAAACCTTCAACTTAAATTTGGTAGTTTGCTTTATGAAAAATATTATAAAACAACGGCTGTTGTTCGTGAGCAGACTGAAATAAATAGTTTCTGAAACAATATTTTGTTATTGCTAAGAGTGAGTTGGAAGGTTTTTATTCTTATTTCATTGTTACTAAGTGCATTATTTGGTATAATTTATATGGAAAAAAAAAAGAGTCGAAAATCTAGGAGCACAATAAGAACTCAATGAGGATAAATTTTACCTTGTGGCACTTAAATGGGTTATATATTTTTACTGTGATCTACATACATAAAGCCTGCGTTACGACAACAAAATGGCAAGAATGTTTATCTATCCACATATACAGCTTTTCCTGTCTTCTGTACTAGTCTGTCGTTGAACCCTAAGTTTTTTAGCGGGTTTTTAAGAAGTCTTTTAAAACATTTAAAACTTCAACTTGTGATTGTATACATATATGTTGTCATATGAATGATTTTGAATGGGATGGTGTAATTTTTGCCCATTTACCCTGGCAAAATTGCTCCAATTCTGCACAAGTTCGTTGGTGATCGTTGATGGACTGCAATCTTCAAGTCTCGCCATACACTTTATATTGGATTTAAGCCAGAACTTTGACTGGGTCACTCCAGAACATTCACTTTCTTTTTGAAACTACTCCAGTGTGGTTATGGCCTTGTGCTTCGGGTCATTGCCCAGCTGAAATGTGGATTTTCGACCCAGTTTTAGATTCCTTGCTCACTCAATCAAGTTTTCCTCTAGGATTCGCCTGTACTTTGCACTATCCATCTTCCCCTCAATCCTGACAAGCTTCCCAATCCATACTGATGAGAAGCATCCTCATAACATGATGCTGCCGCCACCATGTTTGACTTTTGGATGGTGTCGACTCGGTGATATGATGTGTTGGGCTTAAAATTTAGACCAAAAAGCTCAATTTTTGTCTCATTTGACCACAAAATTTTCTTCCGCGTGTCTGAAGTATCATTTACATGCTTTGTCGCAAACTCCATACGATATTTGAGATGATTCTTTTTCAGTAATAACTTCTTTCTTGCCACTCACCTATATAAGCCAGCTTTGTTTAGGGGCTGGGATAATGTCCATGTATGAACACTGACTCCCACCTCAGACATGGAACATTTCAAATCTTTCAAAGTCACTGTTGGCTTCACAGTGGCATTCCTATCCAGTTTCCTGCTTGTCCGGCTACTTAGTTTGAAAGGGCGGCCTGATCTTAATGATGGGCTTCACCATAGTCAAAGGGATAATCAGCGAGTTTGAATATTTTCATGTAACCTGAAGTACTGAGCATGTGCAGTGATAAATAGCCGTCCAATCCTTGTAGCTTCCTAAACGCAGCCCGGTAAGCTAATAAGCAGGCTACGCTCAGCTCCAAGATTATTTATATCTAAAAATAACATTCTCCAAATTTATTCAAATAATACATTTTCTTATATTACTAATAACACAGTAATTTCCTGAATATTATCATTAGAAGTGTTAATCACGTATAATATGTTAATCGCAGTTGCTACACAGCTCAAATATGCATACTTGGCTTTAATATTACTGCAGTAGGAAGTTATATATACCTGACTGTTGGTATACACTTTGTGTATCATAATATCACGGTCGTATCAGGGTAGGCATCAATGTAGTGTAACTAATAGCCTCGGACGTACTTACAAGGAAAACTAAGTTGAGTCAAAACATGTCTTGATTATTACAGATTCTCGCCACGAGGTCGTTATTTCTTTTTTAGGTTTATCTATAAATGTTAGAACCGTTTTTCTTTTTTGTGGTCGTTAATTTTTCAATCATTGAATAACCAAAAATATCATGTTAGACTTATTTATGATTTGTCATGTTTATTTCATGATATGAACGCAGCAATTAGCACCAATGTCATTTTACTGTTACTGATTATTGATACATCAAATTATTCAGCCTTGACTTTGAGAATTTTCTTGAACTATGTGGTTTCATTGGCAAAGAGGACGAGAACTGCAATCCTTGAATTTTTCCTGTATTGCTTCATTTTCTAACTAACTTAAAGTTAGTTACATCACTACAAAAAACGTCCAGGATTCGTCACAAGTTAATAAAATACGAACCAAAAACTATGCAGTTCATGCTAACGGTTTCCGCAATCGGTGTAACGCTGTATAGTCTCTGCAAAAACTCATTGAATTGCTTTGTCATTTGCCTTCTCTGTACATACATGACACGGAAACAAA